GGATATTCCCCTGTCACTCTGTGATTATAAAGGCTTTGCAGAGATCCTTATTGTGTCTTTTGGCCAAATAGCTCTGATTTTATCACTCAGATTAAAAATAGCGATTTTTTTTCCCAGGTAGGTCAGAGCTTTGTTGGCCAAGCCGAATTGTTAAATATCTTTTCAAATGTATGGTCTTCAAGTTTCGTGCAGCTAGCCCCTTCCTTTCTCAAATTATGTCTAAAATGGTCTGTTTTCAAGTAGAGTTCTCTGCAGTCAGAAGTGAATGACAAATTCTTCTAAATCACTCGTACTCACAACTTAAGAGCAAATCTGTTCGTATGAATAGTTCTTGCATGGGGGCCCATTGTTTATAAACTGTTGGGCTATTTGTTCACACATTTGTTCACAAAGTGGTGAACCTCACTCCATCCTTGCTTGTGAATGACTGAGCCTTTCAGGGATGCTCCCTTCATACCAAATCATGACACTCACTTGATTCTAATAAATCTCTTCACCTGTGGAATGCTCCAAACAGGTGTTTGAGCATTCCTCTGTTGTTGTCTGTCCCAGCTTTTTTGGAACGTGTTGCAGCATCAAACTCAAAATGAGTGAATATTTGCAAAAAAGCAATCAAGCTTATCTGTTTTAACATTAAATATCTTGTACATTGAAAGCATTCAATTAAGTACAAGTTGAAAAAGTTTTGAAAACGAGAGTTACGACTGTAACTGCGGTTCTATGAATCCCGGATGACCGCCAGCGGCGGTGCTTAAACCACTGAATGATCACTCTTGCGCATGCTCAGGTCGAGAATCTTATACCAACATGGTCACGTGTGACACCCGGTGACACCGGTAAGTCTATAAAGTCACGTGACAATGCCAGCTCAGTCCCTTAATCTTCTCGTGAAACACGGTGATTCCGAGGGACCGAACGCTCTGGCGGTCATCCGGGATTCATAGAACCGCAGTTACAGTCGTAACTCTCATTCTACTTCATCCAGAGGCGGTGCTTAAAGCACTGGATGACAACTACCAACAGAGTCCTGAGGAATCGCACCCCGAAAAGAAACAATCTTAAAACATGCCCACCTCA